TGTTATAAATCATAGTGGATTGTCATAACYAGTTCTGKTCCAGTATAGCCCGGTCCGGYCCATCTATACTTAGTCATAGGGTAATTTCTTTTTCTCTTTAGGAAAAGGAAAGTAATTTCATTTTCTCTTAGGAAAAGGAAACTTCCTTTTATCACATATATTGATCCTTATATAAAGGATACTTGGTTAATGAAAGAATATACGAATTTTCCCATTCTCTTTCTCTCTATTCACAACAGAATTTATATTTTTGTTATATCGATTTGAGATTAATGAAACAAATTAAAGGTAAAAAAAAAATCTAGATACTAAAATAAAATCTTTTCACCATCATTCGGATATGGAAAATAACTCAGATTGAGTTTTCCGAAAAGGTAAATATTTACAACAAAAAAAAAACTATTTTCCTTTTTAATTTTTAATAATAAATAAATAAAAGATGAGATATAATTAAAACGCAACAAACCAACTTTAATCATAATTAAGATTCTGGTAATTACTTAATGCCTGCCTATAAAAGCCCCAATTCCCAACCATTGTGTTCATTCATCTCTTTCAACAACAATGCTGATTCTCCTCTGAGACCTTTTCGAATACCTTTAGGCTTTTCAAAGATGTCGAAGAAGATCGTTCTCAAAAGCTCCGATGGTGAATCGTTCGAGGTCGACGAAGCGGTGGCGCTTATGTCTCAGACGATTAAGCACATGATCGAAGACGACTGCGCCGGTAACGGAATCCCCCTTCCGAACGTCACCAGCACTATCCTGGCGAAAGTTATTGAGTACTGTAAGAAACACGTCGAAGCAGCCGACGAAGCTAACGCCGGAGACAAGGATGTTTACGGTAGTAACACCGAAGACGAAGCGCTTAAGACTTGGGACGCCGATTTTGCTAAAGTCGAGCAGCAGGCTACACTCTTCGATCTCATCTTGGTCAGTAGTTGCTTTTTTTCCCTTTCACGTTCTTAGTTTTATGGTTTCTAATTGGGAATTTTGGTAGATCTGATTTTGTTAGGGATTGTGTTCATCACTCA